CCGGGTAAACTGCACCATTTATGTTAGATATTAGTTTATTTTAAATGAGATGTATCAATTCACCAGCAAATAAATTTTAAAAAAAAATTCTATCCAGGATATTTACCTATAATGGTCCCGTGGGTTGTAAAATAGCAAATATAATGCCTTTTTTTTTCCTTTTTGAAACTTTTAGTTGTTGCAGCTATATAAATATTTTGCATTGAGAGAAGCTAGTGCTGTACTGGAGATTACCGTGCTATTGCTAGCTTCTATGATTAAAAAAGTTCCACTGCAGCCAATGTTTTTCTTTACAGTACCACGGTGCAGGTAAGTATTTTGGAGTCTGAATAATTCTACTTTGTTGCGATGAGAAGAGAGTGCCTCTTCTAGTTACGATCCGCAAACTGTTTATCGGCAGCACAACTGAGACAAGTGACACAAACTATACTAACATATAGAGACTGGAATAAACAAGTGTAACTGAGCAATGCAGCAGCGTGCGTGTTATTAAACGCTTTTCTCGGTAGTATCAGATCACCCGCTTTAAGAGGTTAATACTATAAATTCCTGGCTTTATCATCTTCTATTCAAACGCAGTAGACTGCAACTCTAACAAACAACCCGCACCATGACACAGACAGCATTGACCGCAGCGACACACTTTAAAGTTGGATTCACACTGACATTTGAATCGCAACCGCCAAAGTGGATCTATTCGTTTTCATCATCAAACGCACGTGCAATTGTATTGCATCCTTAAGCAATCGCGTTTGCAACCACTTTGCAAATGCAGTTCAGCCACCGGTCTGAATACGGCATTACTGATGGTGGGTAGTGACCCTCACGAGATTTTGTGGTAACCCTCTTTGCCCTAACCTAACACATATCAAGACTGGGCTGTTCATCGATTCGCTTTCAGATTTTTCAAGTGACGCTTTAATAGCAATAATTTTTTTTAGCCAACGGAAAAAGTAAAACATGCCTGTTTTAATATTTTTGACATCTTTTTCAGGACACAGGCTTACACGGTAAACCACTTCAGTATGCTTGTGATTGTCATTGAGGGTAATTATACGATTTAAATAATAACTTAAAAAGGACTTCACTTTAAAAGGCTTCCCGTGTTCATATTTCTGTAGGCGTCACAATGTGAAGTTTGAAATGGGACTGCAATATGAAATTTATGACAGAGTAAAAATAATAAAACAAATGTGTAGTTTTAACATCTTTCATATAACATGGCTGGAGAAAAAACAACTATAGTAGAATCTCATTAATTCAAACTTGAGGTGGAACGAAAATTTAAATAAAGCAAAGTTTGAACTAACAGCAGTTTCCTCCCATAAAGATGCATAAGATGGGACCTGCATGTTAGTTTGAATTCTCTGCAAGTTTGAATTAAGAGAGTTTGAATTAACGAGATTCGACTAACAGATTTTTCAATTTATGATAAATTTTTAATTAACCCCCAGCTCTAATCAGCATTTAATGTTCCATGAAAGCTATGGATTATGCGAGATAACAAAAATATGCAGGACCAACTGTTCTATAGACAACAGCAATAAGATTATAAAGCACCCGACTTAATATTTGTCGCTTTGCTGACTTTTTACGGGGTGCCAAACGATATAATACAACCTTTAGTAAGAATAAACAACAACAAAAACAACACGAATTTCATAGGGAGGGTCCAGCTCATATGGTAATGGGCTTGCGTCGTCAAGATCCATGCTTCTGAACATGCACCCGTAGCAGACGAAGCACGGCGGTAGCCCCACTTTCACATGTTACCAATTTCGGCCGTACGGTGGCGACACGGCTCAATCTCAAGACGAATAGGCTCCCAAATCTATTCGCAACTCCAGCGCGCCGCTCGCCCTCCCGCGGACGAACGGAGAACCAGAGGAGCGGGGACGGCGGCGGCGGCGGCGGCGGCGGCGGCGGCGCGGAAGCGGTGGCAGGTACTGTCGGCCTTGATGTGTGAAGCCGTTTTAACAAAAAAAGTGAACGCGTTAAAAAAGGAATTCTTGTGCTCCGCCTTGCAACAGCCTTGCACGAAGGACCGGGATGTCTAATTTTATTAGGGACTTTTCGTGTATCGCATACGCTTCGGATTTCTGGTCTTGTGCATGGCCGCCAGCTCAATCTGTACTTAACGTGACGAAAAACGCTCCCACTAATAATGAAGAACTCTATAGTACGGTCTGCGGAAAGTCTATTCTTTGCCATAAGTAGGAGAAAACTCGTCGCGCAACGGTATGTCGAGCAATACAAAGCGGGAATGGGTTCGCGTTTTAAGGCCGTTACAAGGAACATGACCATTTATTCCAAGCACTTAAAAAAAACAGAATACCCGTACTTGCTTTCAGGTGATTACAAAGCAAATAAAGAAAGGCTAGAAGCATTTTAAGCGGTTCTGTGTTGGGCAGCCGTTTGTGACGAGAGCTTAGAACGCGCAGTTTTGGCCAGACGGACCGCAATGTTGCAAATAACGCGGTGCAAAAAATGTACGGTATATTAAAATATTTATTTTTGATAAATCGATAAATAAAACCCCTAAACACGCCGGTTATGTTAATAGGCAGTTTTTGCAGAGCGTACGACACCCCTAAACATCGTTTGGACGTACAGCGCACTGACGTTCAACCAGCGCTACCAACATTCACGAGCGACTTGTTAGCCGAGTTGTGCAACTTTTTAAAATAACCCAAGTAAGTGTGAATAACTGTAAAAAAATAATAATAATCGGGGTTTTCTTGGCCCTACTGCAGAACCTCGTGTTTTTTTTTGTTTTTTTTCGGTACTCTTTGATGCGTACTTTAGCTGTTTAATATCTTATAATGCACCGTCATCAAGCCCCTCGTAAAAGTTGGGGCCGTCAGTTTGACGTCGATGGGCTGCACGGCGAACTGAAGTTTTGGAGTGTCGTATATGTGCCAAGGAGTGTAAGGACTACAACATTTTTTTTTTTTCTTTTAGAATGATGAGCACGGCAACGCTCCTGGCGCGCACTGAAAATTGTACTTCAAAGGCACAGCGCAAGCCTGCGGTTATAATGCTACACCGCACGGTAGCCTGCGATAAAAAAACTTTCTATCAATAGCGAGTTTTAGTAGATCGTGTTTCCCGCTCCGCTTAGCCCCTCCGCTACCCGGAACTCTACAGCCAAGGCCATCGGCGCGCAGGCGCAGTGGCGGTTTCTTCGTAGCGGAGGGCTAGCGGAGCGGAAAACACGGTCTACTAAAACTCCCTAATAACTATAGAGCAGTTTGATTACGTGTAGCAATACACTAACACCGAGACGGCGAGCAGCGAGTTGTGAGCCTGTGACGCGAAGACACCAATACTGTGAACGCTGCTCTTCTGAAGCTTGACGGTCAGCGTTCTCGACTCTTTTTTTAGAGAACTAATGGCCAGGCAAAGCCGCAAACATATCTTCATCGCCCTCAAAAATATTCTGCCACAAACAGTAACCTGGCCGGTGCCTAAAACGCGCTCGCTCACCCCAAAGCTTCGCAATTTGAGGTTTCTGCAACTTTTAAATAACAGCATGCTCGTTTTCCTAACGTGCATCAGCATCTACGTCACTTGTAATATGATCCCTTCATAACCGCTTCGCATTTGTAGACCAATAAATAATTTTTAGCGCGCTGAACAGCGTCAGCGCGAGCAGGCGCGCGGGATATCCTGGAGAATCTATCCCCGTCTCTTCCGCCATCTTGGAACTACCGCCCCGCCACCTATAGGGCGTTGGAGTTGCGAATAGGATCCTGAAAGCATTATTAATCCCATAACTTTCCTCGAACAATTTTTTTTTGGTGTACTATTGTTGTTAGTCAAACGTATCAACAGGGATCTACTGTAACTCCGTGCGATTAGACATTTCTTTCCTGAGGGGCACCAGCCTATTGGAACTTGTCTGAATTATTTGTGTCATGACCCATCTCTTTCGCAGACACGGACAAGAGGCTTATCAACTCCACATTAAGCAAAGACCGGGATAAGTAACCACAGTTGCTTCAAAACCGCAATTTACGTGCAAGAAAATACACCACGAGGCATGAATTCAATTGAGCGCCAACAGACGGATACCCCTCAGACAAAAATGCACGGGCGCAAGAAACTGTTACCTCTTTGCATGACTGTACTTTGTTATTAACATTACAAAACACCATTTTGTTAACCAACACGTCCAGACTCGAAAGCCCGACAAGAAATGTTATACCGTATTTACTCGCATAATCCTCACACTTTTTCTTGCAGAAAATCAATGGAAAGTTGGGGGGTGAGAGAATTACGCGGGGAAAATTTTCCGCAAAAACATAGAACGCTAAAAAAAAAAAAATGTGAATTGGGATTTTTGTGTTGGCAGCTACTTACAAGGTTTTAGAATTACCAATACAGGACTTACCTTAACAATAAAACCACAGGTTCAACACAAAGCAAGGTTTATTTGCAAGCACAGTCTGAGTTAAGACTTACCTACGTCGCTGATAACGACCTCAGTCCGAATCAGTCCTAGCATCGCTGGTCGTTGCCTCCTCGTCATCTCCCAATTTCTCGTCGGCTGTGCGAATGCCGTCTAGTTGCGCGCACGCGAAACCGGCTCAACGACAGTGTGACTAGCTTCTGAGAGATGGCGCTAGGCTGCCTAGGGCACCTTAGGGTGCTTGGAGCATTAAAGGACTCTGGCCCAACGGAATGGAGCAGCGCGGCGCCGGAAAATGCGGGTGGTAGAGAGTGCGTGCATCATGCGGGTTTCGTGAGCAGGCGACTTTCGCCGCTGCAGTTTTGAAGATGGGAGGATTACGCGAGGAAAGGGAAAATCCAATTTTTGGTGGCTCACATTAGGGGTGCGAGGATTACGCGAGTAAATACGGTAAACACAAAGTGAACTACAGTTATTACACCTCGATAAAACAGCTGTATAAACTGAAATTTCCTCGAGGAAATTTTAATTGGTAACTCCTTTCAAAGCACTTAGTGTACCTGCAAAGTAGAGCAAAAACTTGACTCACATTTTCTTCTGCAATTTTTCCAACGAAGCTTCTGCCAGTGCGTCCTGCTGCGGGGGACAAGAAACGAAGTGTTCCATGTGACAGTGGAAACCCAGTGCAACAGTATGCAACTACAGAAAACAAGCACAATAGACATTTTCTGATAACGAGTGCCACCTGGGGGCGTTGTCTGCAAATTACAAATAAAATGCAGCCCGACGTGCCACCACCCATTGGAACAGATTGGTATCGTGCTGTTGTATCGGTCTTTATTACTTTTTCCTTTGTCCCATATTTCTGATGCTCGAAAAAGAATCGTCAACAAAGACGCAATGCATGCAAAGATGGGTGCTGACAACGTTGGTCGTGCAGGACGGAGCCCTCCGAAAATGGTGACAGTGGAAAGAAAGGCCAGGGGAGAGCGTGTGTACATGTGTACAGGCTTACTGGAAAAAGGTCCGTTCTCTGGGGGTATTTCTGGTATGCCCAGGTACATATAGGAAATGCTACGCATCCAACACAGCACAGCGAGTCCAATTTCGAATACCTTAACCGAACGCCGTTACACAGCGCAGAATTTCCGAAGCAAAAAGGCGTGCGATGTTATGTGGGTGCCATTATCCACCATTCTAAGCATCAATAACGATTGGTGCACAATGTCGCACATCCAATCTTTTGGAAAACTGCACCGTGGGCATCAAAAGAAAACTGATTTGTTTTTTGCACCATCTTGTCAACGCATTCTCGTATAAAACAAAGCCTTTACTGTTATCCTTTTGCGTTTGGAGATACTGAACAGGTTGTGTTTGGTATTCATGACAAAGATGCTTACAATGTCAGGGAACTTGTTTTTGCCGTTTGAAAAGAATTCTCAATGGTCAAGAAATGACAGAAAGTATCAAGCAGCAAGCTTGGTGCTTTTACAAATTGCTTTGTAATAAAAAAAAAAAAGTAAAATGGAATTTTTTTTTTTTTTTTTTCAGAATATTCACGTTGTTAAACACAATTTAGGTAGAGATAGCCCGTTCTGGGCCCCACCCAGGAACGTAGCTAGCTACGCTCCAGTCCTTGACTTTCATTGGTTGGAAAGATGATTGATGTGCGGAATAATCGTTGTAAAATTGCTTCTCCATGGTAGTCTTTTATTCAACATTGTTTTTATGTTTGAGAAACAAACTACCTATATAAATAATGTGATTATTGTTTTCGGAAATATCATGAGATAGACTTGAACCTCGCACCGAACAGAGAAGGCTGAAAACATTATTTGCTTTTGGATATTCCCACATAATCAAGAAACGCATACAGTTCTTAGAGGAGTTCGGCAGTTGGGAATGCGAACATACTGCAGATTGACAGCACGACAAGAGAAAGATGGCGCTGCAGAATCAGTTTGTTGATTTCTATGCGAATAAGTGTGGTGCCAGCAGCCACTGACATGTAAAATGCCCCAAGCTAGCAGCCATGACATGCTGGTCAAATTGGCGCTCTGCAATTGAGATTCGAGCCACCCCGTTGCTAGGCAGTCTAACTACCTCGCTCTCTCAACCCAGTCCACGAAACGAGTTTGACATTTTGCCCGTGGGTTTGTGCCCTTGAGAGCGCAGTTGTTCCCACCTGTTTTGTAACTGATGTCGCAACCCCGTTGCTCTGTGGCAGAGTGTATGAGGAGCCAGGTTCGGTGCTCATGAAGCGAGAAACGTCGTCCAACACTACCACGGGATTCTGCTGATCCTTGGGCACTGTCCTGCGTTTCTTCGGGGGTGACAGTCGGACTGGAACGGCGTCCTATAGAGAAACAATGCACAAAAATTCAAACCAGATGTATTAAAGCTTGCAAGCAGATCTTGGAAGAAAGCCTTCTGAAGCTCTCTTTGAAATCATGAGCCTCATTTGAAAGAGAAAGGACACTTCTTCATTAGGCACAATATGGAGTCAAGGTAGGTACGCCCTCTGGCAGGGGACTAGCCAGGAGCGTTTGGGGTCAAAACACACTCCGAAACGTTTATGGCATCTCCCGTACCTTCTCTTCGCAGTGCGAGCAATTTATATTTCGCGTCTCGGCATTAAATTTGTAAGTGGATGAGCTATATGTTTCAGTAAGAGCCTTGGCTCGAACCACAAAGACACTTGGGCGTGGAGAAGAGAAATCCGGGGTACATTATATTTGCGAGGGCTCTTCTTTACCCACACCCTGTTCCAGATAATGCAAACTGCTCTTTATTCGGGGTCATTTATTCGAGTCCTGAGCCAGCCCAGTCCATCGTCCAGAAAGCAGACAACGGAATGTCCACTAAAACTTTTTTGGCCTTCGACGCGACCGTTGTGAGGAAACTGCACTTGAAGTCACAGATTGTCTACTAGCTCGCTTCTGGTGCGACACTGTATACAGCTGCAGTGTCAATGTCATATCGAGGTGTCTTTTATAGCAGTCAAATTTAGTCGCACATACAATTGGTCTTCTTGTGTAGATAGACTGAAAAGCTCGGTGCTCCAACTTTCCCACACATTGTCATCTCCCGCTCTCCCTCAGCTTCTTTCTGTAACTGTGCTCTGGCCTTTGAGGACCACCTCTGCACTTGCTCACAATCTCAAGGTGGGGAGTTCAAATCCTGCGAGGACTAAAGTCCCTTTATACAATTCCCTATGGGTGTGATGCTCTTCGGTGCCGGTTTTTCGTTACAGCCAACTGCTACAGAACTCCGTAAAAATCGGCTGACAAAACACATTCTGTGTTAAAAGAAAGCTGTCACAAGCGGCACTCACATGTTCGGTGTCAGACTCTGAGCTGCTTTTGGAGGCAGATTCCTTCAACCTTCGCTTGCTCCGCGACTCAAGCCAAGCCTGCAACAAGTTACCACATCATTTGAACCTCAAGAGGAAACAATGGACTAGAAAACACGAAAGAAAAGATTGTTACTCAATTAGCTTGCCTGCATACCTCCTCTATGTGCAAAGTTACTATCAGAATGTCTACCAAGTTAAAACAAAGTTTTCAAAATTAGAAGCTTTTCCAAGTTTTCCCTGACAATTTTAGCTAAACTTCCCAACCGACTACAGGATGCATCTGAGGTGCTTCCCCAGTTCGAGCGTCAAGATGTTCTCACTCGGGCAGCAGAAATGAACGCAACCGCCCTGTACTACAGATTGGTAGGCACCCTGTACTACAGATGTTTCTGAATGGCTCAATGATCTCAACAGCTTTCACTGTCTGCACAGTCACCGATTCACTTCCCCTGAGCTAGAGCAGTGGTTCTCAACCATTGAGGTTTCGCGGACCCCTTGTGGATCGGCGGAGATGATGGAGGACCTTGTTCGCGGTAAGGGGAAAGATAGAGGTTAATTATGATGGCGATTTAATGAATGACCATAATTAAGGGCTAGTGTGAAGTAGACTTATCTTACTGACATACACACGATAAAACTCACCCGAACATTTGAACGTTTCTGCTCAATCTGATAAAAGACAACTTTTATTGCCGGGCTTGACTGATGAGGCTGCGCTTTGCAGACCCCTACAATGCCTTCGCGGACCCCAAAAGGGTCCGCGGACCCCCATTTGAGAATCACTGAGCTAGAGCAACCAATGCCAAGGCTTCAGAAGGGACCTATTGTCAGAGCATAACTACATTCCAGCAGGTGTCGCACCTTAGAACGGTACTTCTTCCTGGGAGATGAACTGTTTGTCGGTTCCTCCGCTGGCTTGGGAATCTCCCTGGGTACAGAAAAAGAAGGTTTTTGTTGCACACATGTACAAGGTTGTTTAACATTGCATCACCATGCAAACATTTAAGGTAACTGTAGGTCTCCAATTATATAAATTACTTTAAAAAAAGAGAAAGATATCTGTGTGTGGTTGCGAATTCCTGACCAAGCTTTTCTTACTACTCTTTTATATTAATTCTAACGAGAACCTTGATTATCTCAACTTTATTTCATTCTAGCTTAAAACAGATTTTGATACACACCCTAGTAGCGCACTTAGTTCTGTGATGTCCTTACAATGCCCCGACATTTTGGGGATGTCCTCTGTGTGTTCAAAGGACATCCCAGAACGTTAGGACATCCTAAGCATATTCACAGAACTAAGTGTGTTACTGGTACGTGTTGATGAAGACATTTTGGCCATGACCAAAAAAAGTTAGTTTATTTATTGAAGTTATTTTCAGAGAACAAGAAAGCTAGTACTAGTGGAATTGTTAACTTCAAAAATTTCAAAATCCAGAGACATACCGTAAAACCCCGTAAGAATGCCCACCCAAAATGAAGAAATAAATGGCGAAAAACATGGGGTGGGCTACCTTTGGGGATGCCACAGCAAAACTTTATCGAAAATTAATGATAAGCACTGGTGCACCCACTATAAATCACGTGATGCGGGAACTGATAACGCAGATCGCAGGCAGGGCAGATTCATGTCTCACGGTGCGAAGAACTCGCGGAAACCCACCGAGAACTTGCATCTCCCGGGAACGGATACCGCAGATCGCGAACGCAGCAGATTCAAGTTTTATGGTGACATAAACATGCGGGGACCCGCTACAAACCTGCCTGTCACAGAAACCGATATTGCGAGCGCAGATCGCGGACAAAAACGCGGGAATTTTATACAAACTCGCATGTCACGGAAACAAATACCGCAGATCGCGGACGCAGCAGAACCACATTTCACGATGCAATATACACACAGGAACAACTCGCGGTGTAACAGCTAGAAATCGATATCGCACGAACAGATCACCGACAAAAACACGGGAATCAGCTACAAACTCGAGAACGGATACCGCAGATCGCGAACGCAGCAGATTCGCATTTCATGATGCAAAGTATAAATGCGAGAACAACCAGTGTGTTATGGGACACGATGTCAAGCGTACCGGTGCCGCAGATTGTGTCGTTGATGCGCAATTCCCGCCCGACATAGCTCGACGTTTGACGGGAATCGGGGGTGGCCAATGTTTTAGAATATTTATGTTACAGATATTTAGCCAGAAAAACGGGACGGGCGGAATTTACGGCAGCAAGGAAGGTTTCAAGAGACACAGTGTAACTTCGTAGTTACATCAAGTTATATATTTAAATTATACAAAGCACCTCATAAATCTCCAAATTACCTAACAAAAAAATATTTTTACAAGCTTGATCGTGCTGACAAAGACTGGTAAGCACAAAATGTGCGACAGGCCTTTATTATGTACCGAGTGAGAGGAACACATCGTAGGCCTAGCACTCTGCGCTATAGGCTTTTACTACAACAAGGTTTGCTTGAAAAGGCAGGTTCAGATCGAGGAGGCGCAGCATCCAAGTGCACTTGCATGGCACACAGAGCGCTGGCCTGGTGTCGCGTGCTCGCCAAAGACTGCACACTTGGGTGACCCGACCATTGGCCCTGAGAAGCGCGCAGGGGGCGACCGCTCTCTCGCACGCAGCGCCAAAGACTTGGCCTTTGAGTGATCCAACCACAGGCCCCGAATAGTTCAGACGGCAAAAGCGCTCGGCTCTCCATCTCAAGGTGGTGAGTCCAAGTCCTGCAGGGGGACTTAAATCCTTTTACGCAGTTTCCTAGAGGCGTAATGCCTTTCACTTTAATGCTCCTACCCGTGCCCTGGAACGAAAGGAAGGTTCCCTGGTAAGGCACATTTTGGCAACGCTTGCCAGAATCCTTTTTTTTTCTTTTCTTGCAACTCATAAACAAATTAAGATTCATACTTTAGTGTTAAACTTCCAAGCCGCGGGATTCAACCTTTTGATCCTCGGAGAAGATGGTGTCCCCACGTCCTATTCAATGAATGCTTCGGTGCCTATACCCAATGGGAGCATCTCTGGATGAAACGGGGTTCGACGCACAGTCGTAACTCTCGCTCAAATGGGGGCCCGCCGAGTTTGAATGGCTTCAAATGGGCCTTGTCTTTCGTGCTGCGTTGCGTAGCTTGTCTGTTCTCTGGCTAAACGTTTGCCCCTTTCCGATGTGGAGGCTTCTTTTTGTTTTTACAGCGGAGTTGTTAAGGGCTAGAGTCCCGAGGATCGTGTCCGGTACAAAACACTTGTCGACAAAAATGCCTCTGGACAGCTACTGCCATCTATAAGCGACGGCGGCAAGCACACAACCAGTATGGTTGCCGCCGTCGCTCGTAGATGGCGCCAACCTTTCCAGGTATAATAGAAGAATGGATAGTTGGGTGCGTTGGTGGGAATTCATCGTAGGAAACAGCGCGAAAAACAGACAACAAAGAAGAAGCACACGTAACGAGCGCAGCGCTCGTCACGTCTGTTTCTTCGTACTCGTCTGTTTTGCACGCTGTTTGCTACGGTCTTATCAGTTTCGGTTTGGACTTAGGATGGGTGGGCCACGCACCCTTTTGGGGAAAGAAGACTGGCTGCGAAAGGAGTGGCGACGTACACAGCAGCGCGAATGGGTCCATAACCGCGGCAAAGCCGCTGTCGCCTCGACTTCCATTGCGTCGAGCGCTTCATATTCTCTTGCCAAAGAAGAGCACATTGCTCGCCTGGAAATCCGCCGCCAAGAACAGAACCAGCGATGTAAAGGGCGCCGGCGAGCCAACGCCACGGACGACGATCGTGCCACGGAGGCCAAGCGCAAGCGCAAGACCCGGCAACGACTGTACTCCTCGCCGGCTAAACAGTTCCCGGGCGCGACGGCGACTTTCCGGAGGGAGTTCATGGATAACCCGTTTGGTGTCACGAGCGCCGTGTGCGACCGACTCTGGGTTGCCGAAGACGTATCCACGATCGGCAGAGTGTCGAACAAGAAGATGTGGGAAACGGGCGCGTGTGCGTTGCGGCAGTGTATCGAGTACAGCTCCGCTAATCTTCCTTCTTCACGAGAGTGGAAAAGCTGAAAGTTTTTTGTAACCATGTAAAGCAGTTAGTTGGGCTTGAACACCCGTACCATCCTTATGCAATTGTTTTACATAGCTGTAAATTTTATTTTTATTTCTTGTATTCATTACAACTTTGCCCCCAAGCACTGTAAACTCCCCTTCAACAAGTTTAGAGAGCAACAGGCATCTTCTTTCACAACCACCCTGATCCACGATCGCAGACACCTTAGGTCAGGAACTCAAACCGTAACCGTAACCGAAACCGTTCAGGAACGAAATTTTTTCAGTAACCGTAAACAAAACGAAACCGTTATTTGAAATTTATAAAAACCATAGCCGTAACTATAACCGCAAAATTATTTACCGGTAACCGGTTTTAACCGAAAAATTCTCGGCCATTTGTCAGAGTTACTGTCAGCGAGTGGTGCATCTGGTAATACATTTCAGTTCAATCTAACTTTAGAATTAAGAATACTTAGTTGGAATCAGTGGTCGAGCTTATAATAAAAAGAGTCTATTTCTAAATCTGCCACACTCCTACATCGCTACATGTATTCAGTACGTGTCACCTTCAGGGTATTAACTAATAAGTTAGACTTCCCAGATGTCCATCCAACTCGCTTCTATCAAAACCACCGATGTTCCTGACATGCCGTAGCAAGTATAAAGAAAAGAGGTAAACTGACCATCATGCAGAGCTGGCGGAAAAGAAAACCCGGTATTCATTTAGTCTGAAACACATTGCGAGTGACAATTTTGAAACAACACAGAAAGAAAAAAAAAACGCCAGAGGTTTGACACTGGCGTTCTGCCACGGGCACTCGCTGGAGCGCCTGCTTCCCCTCAAGGTGCTCCAGGGTGCTCCAGGGAGCGGCGGGCTACTTGGCATTTTACTTTTCTCCTTATGGGTCTCAGTTTTTTTCTCCTTCGTCCCCTGTTTGACAACGTTTCAGACCAAATTCCTCTTTCACTCAACTGGCTTCCCTTTCTCCTGTGTGTTTGACCGACTTTGCCGCACTGCCAACCACTCCCCTTCCCCCCGCTAGACAGCAACGCATGGGCAGATGCCTCCGGAGTCGGTTACGGTGTAGATGTTAGGGACTGTGCACAGGCAATCATCGCCCCTCTGCCAAGGCCCATATACCTCGGGGAAAGACTTGCCATGTTGTGGTGCGCATGTATCACTGAGAAAGGGACTCTTCTGCACACGGAGAACAGAGCTTTGGCTTTCGCGCAGTGCCGCGGCCATCGGCGAGCTTTGCCTTGGGCTATTGCCATTGCCAGTTTTCTTCATTTATTTATTTATTCACATTGATTAAAAAACCTCGGGAAACCCTTCGGACCTTTTCTCGATCCTTCCGCTGCCCTCAGCAAAAGGAAAAAAAGATGCCTCACGCAGAGAGCGCGAGGACTCGATGGCGCGCCGGCTCGCCATCACGTGTCAAGCACGCAATGGCAGATTGACGGGGCCATGGCCGACGGTACCCATTTTATTGACATATCTTCATTAAGAAAAAAAAAAAAAAAAGAAAGACGGCACTGGCAATAGCCCAAGGCAAAGCTCGTTCATGGCCGGGGTGCAGCGCTAAAGCCAAAGCTGTGTTGTCGGTGTGTAGAAGAGTCCCTTTCACGCCAATGCACGCGCACCAGAACACGGTGAATCCTTCCCAGCGGATTGGCCTCAGCAGAGGGGCTATGATTCTGCACACAGACCCCTACAAGTACCCAAAAACCGACTCCGGAGGCATCTGCTTATGCACTGTCGGGTAGCGGAGGCGGAGTGGTGGGCAGTGCGGCAAAGTTGACCAAACACGCAGAAGAAAGGGAAGTCAATAGGGTGAAAGAGGCATTTGGTCTGAAACTGTGTTAAACA